GACCCCCCCCCCCCCCCCCGCCCCGCCCCGCCCCCCGGGCGCCTGCGGCCAAATAGGGAGCGGAGGAGGGCGGGGATTAGATGGGACGCACGCGGCGGGAGCGGGGTTCGTGCCGGTTGGGGGTGGCGCAAGGGGTGATGGGAGTGTGGGCAAGGAAGCGGGGAGCGATAGGGCTGCTGAAGGGGGAGCAGGGCATGGTTGGCTGCATGGTGGGAGCAAGGGATGATGGGAAGTTGGTGTCTGAGGGGATGATGGGAGCAGAGGATACTGGGACATGAGTCGGTGAGAGCAGGCAGGGCATGGTGGGATGTAGAGAAGCAAGGGATGCTGGGAGATTTGCACAGGAAGGGCAGCAGGGTGTGATGAGACTTGGGAGTGGGGGGGGGGGCAGGAGACAGGCCCCCACGGGGCCACCCCTGACCCCGCCCCCATCCAATTGGCAGGCAGTACCATGGCGACGGCCCCAGGGCAGGGCTTCCGCGGGGTGTACCTGCTGCTGTGCACGTGCCCGGAGAGGTGGGGCCGCGTCTATGTGGGCTTCACGGTGCACCCGCGGCGCCGGGAGCTGCAGCACAACCGGGGGCAGCGCTATGGCGGCGCCCACCGCACCAGTGGGCGCGGGCCATGGTGAGCCACCGTGGGGCCGGGGCTACCGCCCAGCATGCCTTGTTTTCGGGAAATCACGCTCCTGGCATGCTTTGCTGCGAGGGACCTGGTTCCCAGCATGCCTTGCTTTACGGGCCTGGCCTCCAAGCAGGCTTTGCTCTACATGGGTTAGGCTCCCAGCAGGCTTTGCTTTAGGAGGGCCAGGCCCCTAGCGTGCTTTGCTGTGAGGGACCAAGCTTCCAGCATGCTTTGCTCTAAGGGCCTCAACTCCCAGCATGCTTGGCTGTAAGAGGACCAGGCTCACACCATGCTTTTCTGCGAGGGACCTGGTTCCCAGAATGCTTTGCTGAAAGTGGCTTAGACCTTTTGCTTGAGGGGGGCCTAAGTTCCCAGCATGCTTTGCTTTATGGGCCTAGCCTCCCAGCTGGCAGGTAAAGCTCTCAGCATGCTTTGCTGCAAGGGACCAGACTCCCAACATGCCTTGCTTTATGTGCCTGGCTTCCCAGCATGCTTTGCAGCACAACAACCAGACTCCCAACATGCTTGGCTGTAGCAGCACCAGTTTCCCAGCATGCTTTATTCTGGGGGTCTGGCTCCCAGCATGCTTTGCAGCAGCAATTCCCAGTATGCTTTGCCCCCCCCCCCCACAGGGAGATGGTGCTGATTGTCCATGGCTTCCCCTCCAATGTGGCTGCTCTCCAGGGGAGTGCCCCGCCCCTGCCAGGCCCCGCCCCCAGTAGGGAGCTGGGGTCTAGTGGATGGGAGCGACAAGGCCTAAGGGGTTCAGGAGCCCAGACGCCTGGGCTCCTTGGGAGTGGGTAGAGGCCGGGGGGCGGGGGTGAGAGCAGGGAGCCTGGGCACTCTGGGA